CCTATGTTTCTTTGGGCCTGGCTTACTTCACTTAATATAATTTTTTCCAAGTCTTTCCATTTTCTAACAAATGGGGTGGTGTCATTCTTTCTGATAGAGGTACAGAATTCCGCTATATGTATGTATGTGTGTGTTTGTGTATACATATATATATGTATATATCACATTTTCTTGATCCATTCATCTACTGAGGGGCATGTGGGTTGATTCCATATCTTAACAATGGTAAATAATGCTGCTATAAACATAGTTGTGCTGGTAGCTTTAGTATGGTCTTGCTTGTGATCATTTGGGTAAATGCCAAAAAGTGGGATGGCTGGGTCATAGGGGAGGTCTATGTGGAGTCTTTTGAGGAACCTCCATACTGCTTTCCAAAGTGGTTGAACAAGTTTACACTTCTACCAACAATGCAATAGAGTTCCCTTTTGGCCACATCTCCTCCAGCACCTGTTGTTATTAGATTTCTTGATTAAAGCCATTCTAACTGGGGTGAGGTAGAATCTCAATGTTGTTTTAATTTGCATTTCTTTTATAGCTAGAGAATTGAGCATTTCTTCATGTGTCTATTGGCCATTCTTATTTCCTCTTCAGAGAAGTTTCTCTGTTAAGTCTTTAGCCCATTTATTTATTGGGCAGTTGTTTCTTTAAGGATTTGTTGTTGGGGGATTTAATTTTTTGAGTTCCAAGTATATTTTAGATATGAGGCCCTTGTCTATTTTATAGCTAATGAAGATCTTCTCCCAATCCGTGGGCTTTCTATTGATCTTGCTAGCTATGTTCTTTGCCATGCAGAAGCTCTGCAACTTCATGCAATCCCATTTGTCCAACCTTTCTTTGATTTGTTGTGTTTCTGGGTCTTTATTAAGAAAATTTCAGCCTGTGCCAAGGAGCCTTAGAGTTTCTCCTATTCCATCCTGTAATGTTTTCATGGTGTCTGCTTTGAATTTGAGGTCTTTCATCCATTTGGAGTTGATTCTGGTGCAGGGTGATCTATAAGGATCTAGCTTTAGTTTTCTGCAGGTGTTTAACCAATTTTGCCAGCACCATTTAGTGAAGAGGCTGTCTTTCTTCCATTCTATTTTTTTAGCTCCCCTTTTAAAGGTTAGTTGGCTATAGGTCTGTGGATTCATTTCTGGGTCTTCAGTTCTATTCCATTGGACCATGGGTCTGTTCTCATGCCACTGCTGTTCTGATTACTATGGCTTTGTAGTAGAGTTTGAAGTTTGGTATTGATATTCCTCCAGCACTGTTGTTTCTGCTAATGATTGTTTTTGCTATTCAGGACCTCTTATTGTTTCATATGAATTTTTGGATTGTGTCTTCTGTTTTGTTGAAGAATGAGGCTGGGATATTGGTAGGTATCACATTGAATTTGTACATAGCCTTTGGCAATATTGCCATTTTCACAATGTTAATCCTCCCAATCCAGGAGAATGGGAGTTTTTTCTACTTCCGTAGTTCTGCTTTAATTTCTTTTTTCAGGTGTTTAAAGTTTTCATCATAGGGGCCCTTCACTTCTTTAGTTAATGCCTAGGTATTTTATTTTTTGTGTACCCCATATTTTTTAAAGAGAGGTCTTTTGCTGTTTAGTCTTGCTTTTTTGTTTTGTTTTTATCAGTTGTGGGTCTTGAACTCTGGGCCGGGCCTGTCTCTCAGCTCTTCACCTCAAGGCAAGTGCTCTACTGCTTGAGATATAGCTCCACTTCCAGTTTTCTGGTGGTTACTTGGACATAAGAGTCTCATGGATGTTCCTGCCTGGCCTGGCTTTGAACCACAATTCTCAGATCTCAGCCTCCTAAGTAGCTAGAATTGTAGGTGTGAGCCACCAGTGCCAGGCTAGTCTTGTTTTTAATATTCATTTTATTAAATAATATATGGGAGAACTTCTACAAAGAATAGCAAGTTGTTAGACAAAGATCAGTACTAGGACCACTAAGCCTTTATAAATCTACTTAAGTGTTTCTGGCTGCTTACTGTAATTCTAGATGGGGGTAGCATTTCCAGTTTGTGGGTGAATATGGTTATATAAAATGAGAATTCTGAAAATGCTTTCCAAAACCAATAAAAAAAATTGAGTGCTTCTCTTTCTTTTTTTCATTAAATAATCAGTATTGGGTGCCCTGTGATTATTGACAGCCCTTACCAACTAGAAGCTTATGGTCTAGATCCAGAATAAGGCAAAGCACTGCTGGGTACCATGGACTTGGGTGAGTTTAATTGATCTTGAGATTGTAGATTATAATTGAAATCCAAAGGCATCCTACTTTATACAACAAGCTAAGAAAAGTCCGGGCAGGAGAAGTCACATCCAGTTATTACAATATGAATGGAAGTCAATGCAGAAGAAAAGAAAAGAAAAGAGCAGACCAGGTTCTGGAGGGATAACATACATATAGGTACAAAGCAAGTCAGAGACCTTACTATGATTAAGGAACTGAGGGAACAAAACAAGTACTCTTGTGGATGTGTGGCTGGGATGATTCTGCAGAGGATAAGAGCTAGGGAAAATAACAAGAGCCAAACCTAGTAAGGCTTTCCTTGCAGGAATGAATTCAGGCTTTTTTTCCTGAGGAGAATGAGGTATTTTAAGTAAGAACATTATGAAATCAATTTCGTACAGAAAAATTTATCAGGCAGTGCTGTGTGAGAAAATACAGTGTGTTCAGGATGGATTTTAAGTGCTAAACTGATAAGACAGAGTAGAGGGCTAGGTTAAGAATGATTAGAGGACTGGGTTAAATATGATTAGATGGATCCTGCAGTTGAGTGAATGGTTGTGTCATTTGACAAGATAAGGGACAAAGAGGGAAATTGGAAGGAGTGATCATCAGAGTAGATTTTGGCATATGTTAATGGTTCAATATTTTGGGTTATAATTTTGTGTCTACTTTTCTTATCAATCTCCACTGGTTTGTTGGGTTTAAAAGGTTGATTCTTGGCATCATTTCAAGTTGCAAATTGGCCACTTACTGGCATTCTTATCTTAAAAAGACCACTTAACCTCTACAAGCTCCAGTGTTCTCATTGGAAAAATAATGATAAGGCTATTCATGTCACAGGATTGTCACAAGTAAGGCTTAATAGAGAAAATGCACTCAGAGTCCTGACACAAAGTGAGTGTCAAAGAAAGAGCAATGAGAATTTTCGTTGCTGCAGCCTTCTGACTGTTCTATGTTTTTACTCAGCTCTGGGTTTTCCCAGAGCCTTGTCCAAGAGTCTGACATCAATTCATAACTGTCAAATTGAACTGCATTGAAATAACACAACATGGAAACACCAAATGAAGGTTTTAAAAAAATGACACATTTTGTGAAAGTTTAACATATCACTTCAGTTAAGTAAGTTACACAGAGAAAGTCAGAGGTAGCATTTGAGAATGAAGGACAGGAAAAGAGTAATGATAATATTTAGAAAATAGGAAGTGACTTTTAATATTAAAGAGACAAATCAAACTCTAAGGAAGATGCCAACATCTGACACACAGCTTTCAAGAGGGAGTTAACAAGCTGATGGTTTTCTTGCTCAGCTCAAGTTCTTATCAAGATGATATGTTGGAAATGGCCTAACATAGTATCACTGCAAGAAGAAAATATTAGAGCATAACCATATGAAAAATTTAACACTAGGAAAAAAAGTACTAGAAATCTGACCCAAATGTAATAAAATGTCTAGCTGGGATTATGGCTGTTATTTGATTTTGCTTCTGGCACTAAATTTTCTCTGAATATGAACCACATTACTGTTTACATACAACTTTTTTTAATACTGTTTTTTATTCTTTTTTGTTTGTTTTTTATTTCCTTTCCCTTTCCCTAATCAGATAAATGCATATACAAAATGGAGGGTACCCGAATCAAAGACAGAGATTTCCAGGGAAAAACAAATGGAAAAAGAAAAATGAAATAAAATAAGAAGGAAAAACTAGATACAGTACACTGGCAACATCAAGGTTGACAACTCCAAAAAAGACCTGCTGTTTCCATGTCTTGGAGTTCATTTCAATTAACATCATTTTGTATGGTCAAATATACATAGCTC